AATGCGATTCGTGCGACAAACGTCTTCCCAAATTCGTAATGAGAATCATTTATAAATCTGCTGTTGTCAACAAAAAGAAGCTCCGAGATCTTCCTGCGGGATATTATTATTATCATCATTATTCTTGTCTTTATTTAAATTTCAAAATAAAAGCTCCATCAACATTCATAAATGTTATTATTGTAATTTTACTGTTGTTCTGTCAAATTAAATAAAGACCAGAATAATCATAATAATAATTACAACAGCTCTATTAATACATTATAACATTTACACAGTGTTCAAATTGGGATCTATAATATTTTCTAAGGTTTAAAAGAATTCTTTTCTGATCAGCAAGCCTGCATTTATTTGTACAGTAAAAAATAAAAAAGCATGCCTGATTCAAGAAGGGGGTCTCAAAAATGGCCAAAAAATATTATTTTACTAACTTTGAAGAAATGTGAAGTTAAATTGTGTTTTGTAGGTATAATGTCTGCTAGAATGTTAAAAAATGTTCAGTGTTAATATTTTAACATTTTTGTCAATGGTTGACGAGAAGTGCATTTATTCAGTAGCAGAACGACTGAGAACGGGAGACAGACGTTTCAGACACGCGCTCCACTTCACTTCAGCGCCAGGCGCGAGTCAAACGAGCGCGGAAACGGTACTGTGCTCGCAGCGCGTGCTCTTCAAATGCACTGTAGCCTGTGTCCTTTCATATCAAAGCACGAAATAAACTACGTGCATGCAATGTCGTGGTCAGTTAAGTCATGAAGTTACCAAAAATGCGATTAAAGCTGCCTTAAAACTGTGCATGCATGTAATATATTATATATGAGTCACATTTAAGAACATGTCTCTGAAATGGTTTTCAAAACTGTCCTGGAGCCCAGCACTGTCTCCCTCATCTAACACACCCGATTCAACTCGTCAGCTCATTATAGAGACTTTAAGACCTGAAGTGGGTCAGAAAAGGTAAAGAGAGTTGAGAGAAATATGATGCGTGTCAGATCAGCGTCACGTTCAGCAGCGGCAGCTCTTAAAGTAACAGCAGCCAAAACAACCTAATAACCAGCTGCTGTGATGTCTGTTCATCAACCAACAAAGAGAGAGAGAGAGAAAAGAAAAAAAAGAGGACAAAATCACTTTTATAGCTTTAATGATTCATCTATATTTAATTTAGAATTTAGTGTTTGATAACTTCAATTTCTGTATATTTCTGCTGAAGGGCACGGGTAAATATGACACTTATTATAATGGGTTTATGTGAAGATGGTTTTAAGTTCACTTAAATTAGATGTTATTTTTTAAAGTCTAATAAATGTTAAAATTGATAGCTCTCAATTATACTGTAATGTTCAATGGCTAGTCAATGGTTAAATATTAGGGGGGGGCAACTTTATAGAGAAATCAGTATTGGTATCATTGATACTGGCCTTCAGTCATAAAAAAAGATGCCGTTAAAAATGTACTGTCTTTATGTTGTTTGTACATTAATTTGAAGATTGAATGTGAAATCATTGCAATATGAAAGTATATTAAAAAAAAACTTTAATGTTAGGTGGGATTAATCGCGATTAATTTCAGAAAAACGTGCGATTAATTAGTTAATTTTTTTAAATCGATTGACAGCACTACTATTTAATTTATGCAATGGTGAAAAAACTGGCAAAATACTTGGGGAAAAATTTTGAAAAAACCGTGTTCTCTATTGGTACAGTGTTTGATTTTGTTCAGCTTTGGCCAAGAATTTTAATTTCGGTGCATCCCTAATGACAAGCATGCTTCTGTTTGAAAGGCATTCTGCACAAATACTCCAGGACTATATACTGTGTCACGAGTCTGTCTGTGATGTAAACGCTGCTGAGGGACGCAGCTGTAATCTCAGATTTAATCTGCTGCTTTAATCTAAATCCTGTTTCTGCTGCTGTCAGTCAAAACGTGCAGGAAGACACAGAAGAGGAGGATGCTATCTCAGAGTTTCATGTATAAATACTCACAACTCCCTGACATTATAAGATTATTAAAGGCTGTGAAAAATCAATATGAAATCACATTTGAACCAGTTTGCCTATTCAATACATCTGCTTCTGTTCCATTAGATTTACATCTAGAAGCACGTATGGCAGCATAACACATGCATGTGACAAACAAACAAGCGTGCATTAAAACGGATGAAGCCTCACCAGCTGAATGATGTTGGTGACGCTCTGCCAGTTGGCGAGTTTGATGTTATCTCCTCCATCCACCAGGCCTTGATAACCCTGGAGAAACACATGCATCAGTACGAGCGCAGCGCTCCGTGACTCAGTGCATGCGGAGCAACATCTCTCACCTCATAAATCAGGTAGACTTTAGCGCCTACGTAAATGCCCATGCGTGTTACAGCGCGAACGGCCGCGTTCATACCTGCAGAAAAAACACATGTTATTATGCATCTCACGCCGCTCTAGTCTACACGACCCTGAAAAGAGCACCTAAAATGCATGTTTATTGCAGCAACTAAAGAGACATGCATTGACAAACTGTTTGTAATGCAATATGGTGACACAACATGCAATGCAAATTTAACCTGGAAACAAATAACAGAACTACTGAAGCATGAGACGTGCATGCACACTAGATAGGGGTCATGAGAGGTTGCATAACAGTCAGTTCATGCATTACTTATGCACCAGATACGCACTCTCTGACACAACAGAAAAAACTACGAAAATCAAGAAATGACATCAAATCATTCCATAATTTGGGGTCATTCCACGTCAACTCAACCAGAGTTGTTGTTTTGTGATTTTGTTAATATTTTTTTCTCGTCAATGCATAAATGAAAGATTTAGCAACTTTCCAGACCCTTTTAGTGGCTTTTTCCAGAGAATATTCATACTGACAACCGCAGCCGACTCCTCAATAAATGAGTACACAACAGCATTTCCTAGCACCTGTTGCTTACTGATTGTTAGGAATTATAAATATGAGTAGTTCGTCTGTTAATATCACATGCACTTTTTTGTTTGTTGTTGTTTTTAGGTTGTTACTCAGACGCAGGCAGTGCGCTGCACGAGACAAAACCGTAATATAGCCAAAACAACCACATAGCCGCTCTTTAGTGTAGATGCATGCTGATTTTATCAGACGATGCCGTGATTATAAATGAGAGACTCCTGGTTAACATGTATTAAAAGGGGTCGTGTTTAGTCACTATTTAGTGTGGTATTGTTTGGTAATATTCACTCATCATGACAGTAAAATAGAGCATTCTAAGTCAATATACTGCAGTATTTCCTCTCAATCAGTAGAAGATATGGTTAACACCCGCTCATGCATGAAAAAAAAAATACCGTCTTGTACCGTGAAACCGGTATCATTTTGGAAAATACCGTGATATAATTTTTGGTCATACCGTCCAGCGCTAGCACATAATGCAACAGAGATTGCTAAAGTCAACAGATTTTACTAACCGGCCAACCAATCACAATTAAATAACGATGCTGCCATCTTTCTACAGTCACTTTATCCTCCTTCAATTTGGCTCCACTCTTCAAAATAGTGCATTACTCAGTAAACATTCATCCACGACATTTAATATTTCGGCTTTCATCACTATACACTTCTATCTTTCTTCAGAAAAAAATTTAAATAAAAAATTTGAGCCGGGAAAGTTTCCGAAATGTGTCCGCTTTGACATTTTGAACGTTTAAAAGCATTCAGAAATAACATTTTCATCACGGTTTCACAGTGATGAACCGGAATGCTGCTCAAACACTCGCATAACCAAGAAAAAAAACCCCCCTTCAAAGAGAACATTCAAATGTAACACCCTCAGAACAGTTTCTGATAGAATGGTATGTTCATCTAACGTTACAAAACGTTCTTTAAACATAAAAAGGGTGATTGAAACATTGAGAGCACATTCAAATGTTACATCCTCAGAACATTTTCAAACTGATAGAATGGAGCGTTCGCATGACCAAGAAAAAAACATCTTTATACATTAAAAAACGGGATGTTTTAAACATTTAAAGCAGCAACGTTTTAGAAACATGTTTGCAAATCGTTCTTAGACTCCTCTACAACACGCTGCGTGTCGATATCAAGCACGATCCCTATTTATGCAGCATTTTGTGCGTCACATGTTCGAAAATCAAAGCATTTGTGCATCAGAGAGCAAGTGTTGGCTAAATCGTGTGGGTTGAGCACCAGTCGCAGTCAGCTCGTGCTGTCAGAGTCTCGCTTTATGCGCTTTATTCGCTCTTTCTAGTCATTTGTACCCTGTGCATCGCCGCCGCTCGTCAGAACCGCGATGGCTTTCCCCGCGCCGCTCATCCGCAGCTTCTCGAAGTCCACATGCATGATGGAAGATCGCAGATTTGAGCTCGTAACGCCGGAAAATACGGTGCTTTTCTGTGCACTGACTCCCGTGAAAGCTTCTTATTGCATTCGCACCACGTAGCGCACGAGCTGTGCGTCGCTCCGCCTCCTGTTTGTTCTTCTGGGCGTTCCCGCGAGTGTTGCCAAGTCCGCGGTTTTCCCGCGAAATTAGGCTACTTTAATGCTGCGTTCAAGTCCTGGCGGGACATTCGTACTTTTTTTTTTTATTGCTTCAAACAAATTAACAAAAGATTTTAACATATAGATACAACACAACCTATTCACATTATTACAATCATACAACTTACAAGAACAACAAAAAAATTAATTTAAATTATTTTTAAAAAGACATTTAGTATACAAATGAGTTGAAAAGCATAGCGGGAACATTATTTTTCAATTCAAAGAATTTCTCCATAAAATTTAACAAAATGTAATTCTTTTTGTTATTAATTAACACTAAAGACTTTTTTAACAACTCCATTTCTTTTAAGAATACTTCACATTTAGGCATACAATCCGCACATTTTTGTTTATGAATGTAATATTTACCATGCAAAACGTAAAAGTCTACAACATATTTAAACGTTTTGCTTTTGTGTGTGTAAGAACATATAACATCTTTTAAAGATCATTTATAATTAACATTTCTTGGGGCAAATAGAAAAAAGCTAACATCAGACCAAAATTTCAAAGATAAATCGCAGCTGTAATGGGACGTTCGTACTTACCAGTTTACAAGTCGTAGTTACGACGTCAGGTGCGTTCGAGTCTGTTTAGTCGGCACAAGAATTTTTATAAATTACAAGAAAATACAACAGGGTCTGCATTTTTTTACTTGGATTTCATTAACTAGCTGCGTAACAAGAACATGACCAATTTAAGTTTATAGGACAACTAAACTATCAATTTAAACAAAAATGTACCGATACATTGCATCCATCGATTCCGCCATGTTTCTCATTGACACGCCCCCAACTCGGAAACTCAGGGCTTAAAGAAAATTTAGAGTTTCCCACTCGTAATAACGACTTTGTGGTGGCGTTCATGCGCGTTGAACTCATAAATACGATCTATCCGACATGACTTGAACGCACCATAACACTCAACTATGTTGACATGGACATCAATATTCAGATTTTAACACGATTAAGACAATACTCTGATTAAGAATCTACCATGTAAACAGAGATTTTTGATTACCTTAATCCGGCTAAAGCCATACTCGAAGTAAACACAAATCGAATTAAGACATTCCTATTTTAGTCGCATTCTCAAAAGTGCAGTATAGACATGTACACACCTTAATACCGTCGTGTAGGACTTTTCGCTGCCTTTTGCGATAGGATATACACACACAGGCAGTGGTCAACCGTTTGACGGCAAACAAAAAAGCATGGCTGCGTCCGAAATGGCATACTTCCCTACTATATAGTAGGCAAAAAGCAGTAGGCGAGCAAATAAGCATGCTTGAATCCTCAGCATTCATAAAAGAGTAGGCGAGAATTACCTGGCTGGTGCACTAATTCTCACGATGTATACTTATGGTGCGTTCACATCAAGTTGAACGCACATGAACGCCACCACAAAGTCGTTATTACGAGTGGGAAACTCAAAATTTTCTTTAAGCCCTGAGTTTCCGAGTTGGGGGCGTGTCAATGAGAAACATGGCGGAATCGATGGATGCAATGTATCGGTACATTTTTGTTTAAATTGATAGTTTAGTTGTCCTATAAACTTAAATTGGTCATGTTCTTGATACGCAGCTAGTTAATGAAATCCAAGTAAAGAAATGCAGACCCTGTTGTATTTTACTTGTAATTTATTAAAAGAAGGTACACCGCCATCTTGTGCCGACTAAACTGACTTTAACGCACCTGACGTCGTAACTACGACCTGTCAACTCGTAAGTACGAACGTCCCAGGAGGACTTGAACGCAGCATTAATTTGCGTTCTAATATGCCTACTTACCTACTAGCCTACATAGTAGGAAAAAAGAGTCAGTGAAGAAAGAAGTACGTTCGAAAACTCAGTATTCATAAAAGAGAACGCGAGAAATCCCCGGATGTCCTACTGCTTCAGCTCATGGATCTTTTTCACGTTTCCGTGTTTCTCAGCAGCGGAAGTCGTCAAAGTTGGGTTAACATCGAGAGAGGTGAATGGGAGCACCACAAATATATATTTTTTGTATTCCCATTTGCTCAAATAGCGAACGAAAAACTCCACGATAGTGTTTTCATGACTTTCAAAAAAAGGAAAAAAATGGACATAACGGCAGTCAGAAGAGAGAACGGATTTACGATGCTGATGACCGTTAAACGCGTGGGTCCGAGGGATCGCGCTCTGGGGGATAAAATACAGGTTTTTGGTGGGGTTCCCCTGGTTAAATTCACATTCCAGAGGCTAAATATCACGTTATTGGGGTCGCTTCAACCTGCGGACATGATAAACAACCCGCAGCAACAGTGTTGAAATATCCCAATTCTGCTGGAAAACCGCAGACCTGGCAACACTGAGACTGATCCTCCGAGAACAGAAGAGCTTGAAAAGCTCTATAATTAACTTAAAAAGTTAATGGGTTGTAGAAAAACAGCTGAGCTTTTCTGTCAACCATAAAATAAAAGGCTGTGACGACGAAGCTCTTATCTACAAGCACAGCGTCCAGACACTGAGATAAAGCCTCAGAGAGATCAGTTATAGCAAACTAAAACTAAAACCACAAAAAATGTCACTTGAAAAAAAATAAAGCCTACATTTATTATATTTCAGCTAGTTACAAAGGCAATATTTCTCATTTTCATTTAGTTTAATTTGATGTACTAAAATAATAATAATAATAAATAAACATTTTTAAAAACAAAAACTAATAAAAAACGACAACAAAAACAACTAAATTATAAAAACTAAAACTGGAAAAGTGCACTGAAACTGAAATAAAAGCTAATAAAAAATGAATTGACAAAAAAAAAAAAAAAGACAACTAAATTATTAACAATAAAGCTGGAAATGTCTGAATTGAAACTGAAATAAAATTAAAAGTAATAAAACATTTATACATTTATATATATATATATGTATATTAATAAAAACACCAAAAAACACAACAAAATTACTAAAATTGTAAATAAAATTACAATGAACACAGAAAATATCAAACTATTACTAAAAATATTAATACATATAGTCAGTATCTCATTAATACACATTATATGTATCTCAGTGAAAAATTACAAGTAATAAAAATTAATACAAATAATAAAATATACATACAAAACTAATAAAAACAACGAAAACAGACAAAACTCTAAACTAAAATTGTAAATAAAATTACAATAAACACAGAAAATATTGAAATATTACTCAAATATCAAACTATTACTAAAAATATTAATACATATAGTCAGTATCTCATTAATACACATTATATGTATCTCAGTGAAAAATTACAAGTAATAAAAATTAATACAAATAATAAAATATACATACAAAACTAATAAAAACAATGAAAACAGACAAAACTCTAAACTAAAATTGTAAATAAAATTACAATAAACACAGAAAATATCGAAATATAGCTCATATAGTCAGTATAAAATGTATCTCAGTGATACTAATTATCAAATTATCACTTCAGAAATGTTATATACAGAAATGTACTGTGTTCACAATAGCTACAGCAAAACTATGATCAAATATGACGATTTGAAGAACAGAATTTGCACTTTTTTAATATAAGAATTTTGAAGCAGCAACTTACAAAAACATTGAGAGAGAAAACAATACTTAGTGTAAATGCAATTTGCACTCAAAACATTAAAGTTACAGTGATACATTGAGACAAATGTCCTGACATTGACATCAAAAAAGTCAATTAAATATTATTTTAAAATAATTTAAATAGCATTTATGCTGGTAAGGGTACGGTTATGGGCCTGTCCCTCGCTATGATTTTTCAGCAGGACTTTTAATTTGCAAAATGAAGGCAAAATGATATAAAAATCTAATTTGCATATTGTTCTAAATACAGTCTCATAGTCAAGCAATGTTTTTGGCATAAGTAGGCTATACGTTTTCTCTATAAAGTATAAATCTTTTTATTGGTGTCCCCTGATTTCATGTCAGCCCTGTTACCCTCTGTTAAACTTCTAGGAGGTCACATCATCTCCAAACCAGGATTTCTACACTTTAAACACAAGCGTGTTTCTCTCTCACTTCTATAATGTTCTATTTTTGATGATTTATGAGGCTTGACTGATTGACATCGTGCAGCGTCAATCCTGTTACCATTTTTAAAATGTAAATTTAAACATTATTTCTTACATTTAATATAATCAATACCTACAAGTAAAATCCTTTCAAATATGTGCTTTTGTGAACTTGACTATTAGATAGAAATTAGCAGATTAGTTTGAAATCGTCAACCCTGTTACTGTCAGCCCTGTTACTTTTCAGAGGTGACATAGATTAGGTGTCGCCCTGTTTTTAAAGATTGTCTGTGTAAAATACAAACATTTTTAAAGGTTAACCTGGGTATATTATTGACCTAATGCCTATATCATTCAGTGGCATATGAGCATCAGTTAGTATCATTGGTATTGTTACTATTACTGTTGCAGAATAGGATGATCAGTCTCAATAAAACTCTTTTTTTTTCATTACTCATTGTCAATAATGCATCCATGTCAATTCAATTACAAACAAGAGCAGCAAGGTGACTGCAGACCTTCACTCCAGTCTTGCAATGTTCAAGAGAGTCAAGATCTGATCATCTTCCTTGCTTAATAACTGAACCAGATTTGAAGATCTGTGAGCGGACACAGACAAACAGATGAATGCATTAGCTAATTACAATTCCACTTAAAGGAACACGCCACTATTTTTGAAAATAGGCTCATTTTCCGACTCCCCTAGAGTTAAACAGTTTTCGAATCCGTTCAGCCGATCTCCGGGTCTGGCGGTAGCACTTTTAGCTTAGCTTAGCATAGATCATTGAATCTGATTAGACCGTTAGCATCTCGCTCAAAAATGACCAAAGAGTTTCGATATTTTTCCTATTTAAAACTGGACTCTTCTGTACTTACATTGTGTACTAAGACCGACGGAAAATGAAAA